ACAGCACTGAGAGAAGCAGGCAAGCAGGCCAGGCGACCCCACAGGGCCAATACGGCATCTGAGAAGGAGGAGCTTGTTAGACCCTAGCAGAGGGACACATCTGATCAGGGAAGCAGTCAAAAGGGCTGGGCCAGGAGAATTCCTAAATAAGGAGCTTCAAGTATGGATGGGGTCCACGTGGCTGCTCACCCTCCCTCCACGTAGGCACACAGAGGATTGGACCTGAGAGGGCCCAGGGACCTTTGGTGAACCCCAGTTAGGAACTGTGCTTAAAATGTCACTGCCTCCTATTCCCATAGGAAGGAAACACATTCCATCACCAGTTAATTTTAGGCCCCAATTCGTTCTTTTTCCAAGGCCCCTCCAAAACAGAAGTAACATAGTTCGAGTTGGGTTTCCAAAGTGTCTTCTGTAACCCACAGTTGGGAGGATGAGAAGGAGGGAGGAACACAGGAGATGACCAGGGACCAAGACCTGGGCCCGTGTTTGTTCCCCATAGATTGAAAGAGTCAGCCCTCAGCCCCCAGGAGCGCCCTCCAGCTTAGGAGGCCCACACTGGGTCACCCAGCCTTCCAAGCAAGGGCACCAGGAGCCCTCATTTTGTCTTTGCCCACAGGGAGAAGCACCGGGAGCTGAGTGCAGGCACAGAGGCAGCCTCTATGCTCACAGGCTGTGGCGAAGGTAGGTCCCTCCCATCTGGACTCTGGGGGTGGCCTGAGACCCCTTCAGGGATGCCGTGGGTAGGGCTTCTCAGGCGCACTCCCAGGGACCCTTTGGCCTTCGGGACAGGCATGGCGGGCGAGGTCCTGCCTGCTGTGCCCTCACCCTGCATCTGCCTCCAGCCTCTGAGGACCCACTGGCCCAGCTGCTGCAGGTGCTGCAGGACCTCCAGGAGGCCCATAGCTGCAGCCCAGTCAGCTCCCTGCCCTTGGAGCCGAACTGCCTCCTGGAGCTGCAGACGTGAGGTCTGCCCCACCTCCACTCAACAAGCCCCCTGCCAGGTGCTTGGAGATCCCTGGTGCACTCTCGGCCTTCCACCTCAGTCCCTCTCATTGGGGTGCAGGGCCTGGGTCTCTCCTGAGCTGGGTGAGTTGGGGGGCTAGGGACCAGAGGGTCCAGAAGTCCATAACTGACAAGGCTTTGGCTTGTCATTGCCCGTGCAAAGTCTCTAGGGGACTCTGGGAGCTCCTGCTCCTCTAGGAGACTTGGTTGATCCCTGCAGCCATCACCGCCACTAGCCCAGACTCTAAGGACCCTCATCTCCTGCCCAGGGCAGACCCAGCCAGAAACTACCCCTAGGATGGTCTACATCAGGTGGACTGACACTACTTTGAACCCAGAGGTGGGTGGGAACACAAGGCCCAGAAGACCAGGTCTTGACCTCAGCACCCACTATGCTCTTGGCCACCACCCCACCGGCTCCCCTCACAGCCACTGGCTGTATCCCTGGGAGAGTGTCACGGTGCTCTATTGCTCACAATAAACCTGCTATAACTGTGGCTCTAGACCCTCATGATGGGGGTCAGGGAGGGAGTGGACCTGGGGACCCCAGTGACTGTTGGTTGGGGTGGCCAAGGATTGGGGCTGCCAACATAGCCTATGTGCATCCCATCCCTTCTTTGCTTCCCCCCATTCCCAGGGAGGTTCTTTCTCCTCCCAGCTTTTGTCCCTACCACACCCTCTGGGTCCCACTCCTCCATCCCTCACAGGCTAGAGAGCCTGATCTGGCTCACCAGCTTTCTCTCCTTGCAGCTCCCAAACACACCCTACCTCCAAGTGTCCTGAACACTACACAGAAGGGGTGGGTTCAGAACCTTGAATCCCATGGCCTGGCCCTGGCAGTGTCCCTTATGCTAACCCCCTTGGCTGAAGCAAGGCTTTCTCTGGTCATCACCTCCCACCCTCATCCCAGTCCATCTCTAGGTACACAGTAACCTTCAATATAATTAACAAGAGAGGGGAGGGGCAGGGGCTTCCAGCACATTCTTGAAGTCTCATTCATCTAAGCTCGGAGCCTTGCCTGTGGATCCTAGGCCTAGGACAATCCCCAAGGGCCCAGGTAACAGGCAGGACACTTGACCCAGCTGATCAGCCAGGTCCTGGGGCAGGGCTACCTGGGCAGGCTGCATAGTGGGTTCTTTGAGGGATGGTAGAGAAAGCAAAGGGGAGATGAAGGAACAAGGGGTTGTCCCCTTCCCTCTACCTTATGGCTTTTGGGACCATGTTGACCTTTTCTCTTGGCCACACTTGGCAGTGTCCTCCAACAAGCAGCTCACCTGCCCATCCCCTTGATTGGTAATCATCTCTTGGTGATGCTACCATCCTATGGGCCTCATGAGCCTCTTTGCAGGGCTAGGCGCCCCACCTCCCTTCCTGACCCAGAGTTGGGTCCAGGGGTGGCTGAGCCCTCTCCACCCCTCCCCCATCACCAACACCTGGTTGTCTGGCTCATTCCTTAGAACCTCACACATTGTCGGGTCTTCTTGGGTTTCAAGGACATCATGGTCAGGAATTATGCCCCAGGGTTTCCTGAGCCCTAGTGCAGAGTGAAGGGGAAAAAGATGTGCACTTGTTGAGACTGCAACAAGTAGAATTCCGGATTTTAACTGCACACACAACCATCCACTGGTGATACTCACCACCCCCACCGCCCCCACCCGCTAGTAGATCCTGGTGTGGATGTGGCTACTGCAGCCAGAGGGGAGTTAGAATGAATAAATGCTCCACTGCTCATGTATCCCCCTTCCCAAATTCTCTCAGGCTCTGAGTAGAGCTGCCTACAGCCCCAGATGGCCACATTCTTTTTGGAAGCCACTTGGGAAAAAAAAGGACAGAAGAGACTCCTGCCTTCCCATGGCACAGGAAGGTGCCAAGGGTCACACTTTTCACCAACACCCCCACTCCCCACCCTGGGATTGCCTGTTATTCACCCAGAACCTAGGGAAGATCTCCCAGAAATCTTGAGTGTCTGACTGGACCCTCAGAGGCCTGCAGCCCAAAACCCTGGGAAATGTTGAGCGGGTCCAGATCACATGGTATGTGCATCTTTTATCCTCTGGGCCTGTCTTGTAGGAAATCCAGGCAAATTCCCAACTTCCTTTTGGAAATTCCTATCAAAATATAATTTTCAGATATGTAAAAAAATGACATACAAATATAGAAGAAACATGAATTAAAGATTTATTACACATCCAGGAAGAAATGAGTGGCAAAGCTGGTTCGTAGAGCATTTTGAGAAAATACATATTCGTAAGCATTCTGAGAAAAGAATGGTAGAATAAGATTGTGATGTTAGATACAAAACTGGGAAACAGAGTTTTCTTCTCTATGGAATAGAAACATACAAGTTCATAAGTAACGTCAGTGTCTAGGTTCTGATCGAATAATAAATATCCAAGTCAAACAGAGGTCCACTCTCTAGATTAGGGATTGGCAAACTTTTTCTGTAAAGGTCCAGGCATGCAAGTTTTGGTCACAGTTAATCTCAGGGCCCAAAAGTAGCCACAAGTAGTAAACACATGGGCTTGGTTTATTCCAATAAAACTACAAAAACAGATGGCAAGCTTGATTTGGTCCACAAGCCATTTTAGTTTGACAACCTCTGCCCTAGATAATTAAATAAGCTTTGGTCAGGCCTGTTCAACAGCACGCCAGTATGACACAGAACATGCCACACTCCCCTTCACCTATTTCCAAGGTTGGATGTTTCTTCACACCCATGTCCCAGGAGCCCCTTTAACAGTTGTGCCAGGCAGCCTATTTTATCAGAAGATGGGAATGGTCACTTGGCCTCCTCTTGAGGTACACTAAAATCAAGGTTCTGAAGACTTTTGGGGGCTGGAACTTCTGGAACCCAGAATATCATGTTGGTCTGGAAATCAAAGGGCTAGTGTGACTCTGGTCCCCAAGAGAGGACAGATTTCCACAGTGGCAAGGAAAGTGAAGCCCGGGCTGGGTAAAACTTTTCTCCCACCCTTTCCCTAGTCCAGCTAAGGGTGGCCAGCCTTAGCCTCTCCAGGCCCCTGCAATCCTGGCAATGGTGGTATCCTTGGCCCAAACATTTCCAGGATGACCCAGGAGGGTGGGGCATCATTACCCTCATTGCTTTCTATTCCTCACCAGTTAAAGAGGCTCCCACCGCTTGGCTTGGAGTGTCAAGGTTGGTGTGTGTCTCCAGTGAAACAATTCCTCACCTCCAGGCTCAAGGCTCAAGTAGGAAGTGGCCCTTCCCAAGAAATGGTAGTGGAAGCTCCAGATCTCCTTGGGGGCTCATCTGCTGCCCAGACCTAGAGAAACAGCTGGGAAGCTGTTAGGGCTACAGTAGCTAATCTGAGCCCCCAGTCCCTGCTGCTTTATATAGCTCAGGTAGGGCTTTAATACTATGCTGTAGTCTGCAGAATATCAACCAAAACAGGGAGTGATACACTTATCCCTCCCAGCTCTTCTCACACCTGTATACACCTGCCTTCTCCCCCGATTGCCCCCCAACAAGCTCAGTAGGCCACAGACCCACTTGGCAAACCAGTGACAACACAGCCAGGAGTCTTGTAGCAATCCGCCCAGGCAGCCGTGGCAGGGCGTTATCTATACACGGCTGTCTGGCTCAAGGAATGGACGCCCAGGATCCCATGAGGCTTCCTCCGGCTCCGCCAGCCACACCTACCCATACCAGAGCTCCATTCTCCAGAGGCCCGTTGTGTACACCAAGGGCACATTTCCAAGGAGGGATCAAGGGACATGAGGAATGGAGACAGGGAGAGTTCAGGGTTGCCGCTTAGCTTGGACGAAGATATCTCTCAGTATGCACAGAGTAGCTCTCACCTCTCTGAGCATAGGCCAAAGCGCAGCCACAGGTGAACCCATAAAGGGACCTTCCGGCATGCGCAGAGCTACCAGCCATCCTCCTGTTCCTACCGCGGGTTCTCTCGCCTGCACGAGATCCTCCTGTCCGGTAGAGGGCAATGAACCGGTCCTCGGGGGTTTGGCACCTCTGGCTAACCCGGAAGCGCTTAGGAAGCGGTAGTAGCTGCAGCTGCGACTTTGGAGGCGGCTGCGGCGCTAAGATGAATGCTCCTCCCGCTTTCGAGTCGTTCTTGCTGTTCGAAGGCGAGAAGAAGTAAGTGGAGCCAGCCGAAGTGGCAGAGAGTCGGGCTGAGTGTCGCGGGTCGTCAGCCCCTGCAGCTTTTGGGGCTTCTGCCCCCCTCTGCCGGCAAGACCGAATTAGTTTTGGCTTGAGCGTCCGCTCGCAAAACCCTTCGCGCCTGTCTCTGCCAAACTTGATAGGCCAGCCAAGCGGTGGTGACTTTCCCCTTTGCAGATGAGGAAACTGAGGCTCAAAGAGGTTAAGTAATTCCCCAGGCATAAAGCAAGTGGTGGGTCTGTATTACAATCCAGAATGCCTGGCTCCAAAGTCCTTTTCTTCTGGGATCTGGCAGCCTCCTCGCTCGTCTCCTGGCCTGCCACCTGTGTCCCCCTTGCTGAAGCCAGAGCGATGGCTCTTAGACTCATTCGCCTGGGTAAAACCTTCAGTGACTCCTCATTGCATGCAGGGAGAAGCAAAATGTAGTCTAGTGGTCAGACAGCCTGCTGGGCTTGGCTTTTGTGCTCCCCACTTAAAGACTGTATGTTTGGGCAGGTAAGTTAATCTGCCTGAGGCCCACTTTTCTCATCTGGAAAATGGGCATATTACTGTATTAAAGGGGAGAGTAAATAAGTTATGTAAAGTGCTTAGCCCAAGACTCAGCACATAGAAGACCCTCTTAAACATTGGCATTTCCTTCTCATAACAGCTTGATATGCAAGGCTCTGTGGCCTAGCCCTTGTCAGCCACTTCAGCCTCCGTTGAGAGCAGTGGTTTTCATCTGGGGACCATTTTGCCTCCTGGGAACTTGCAATGTCTGCAGACTTTTCATTGTCATAAAAGGGGTGCTACTGGCATCTAGTGGATAGAAGCAAGGAATTCTGCTAATATCCTACAATGTAGATATTAGCAGAATATCTACAAAAAATTCCCTACCAAAAATTCTTCAACCTAAAATGTCAATGGTGGCAAGGTTGAGAAACTACTTTGGGAAAAAGGAGCAATCCAGAGTAAGGGTCCTACAGAATCAGGGCGTAACTGGGGTCTGGGACTAGACACACTGCTGCTGATTCAGAGAGGTCTTTATGGGATGAAGAGACTGAGAAAGGCTTTCGGGAGGGGATGGGACTTGAGCCTGCCTTGAAGGGTAAGGTTTAGACTCGGGGGAGGAGGGGAGCCCCTATCCCTCATCTCTTGTCTCTGCCTCTTCCTAGGATCACTATTAACAAGGACACAAAGGTACCCAATGCTTGTTTGTTCACCATCAACAAAGAAGATCATACGCTAGGAAACATTATTAAATCGTAAGTTCCAAGTCAAAGGCTCCCAGGGGCTATGTTTAATGGGGCTCTTTGAAGCAAAGCACAAGTTTCAGATTTTAAGTTTCTCTGAGCTACAAGAAGTTCTGGTTGCTTGCTTGGGCAGTTTACACATTCCAGTGCCTTTTCTTCAAAATGACACTGACCCATATCTGTTCACATAGCCACATTGTACTAGCTTATTTGACTAAAGTAAGTGAATGAGCAGGAAGCCACAGAAAAGTAGACATACTTGTTTTTATGCTAAGGAGCATGAAGAGTTAGCTCCCACCCACTCCACCCCTATTTGTGACAATGATCTCATTGACCCCTGGCATTCTAAGATGTATGTGCCAGAGATCCTAACAGTAGAATAAGGGGAAGGGGTGAGAGAGGGTCTCAGTGGTTATCTGGTATCCCTTGTGGGTAGTCGATATTGGTTGGAGGGTGTTTGTTTATACCGTTGAAGTCCTGGTCAGTGGTGTGACTGAGGCTCTGGCCCAGAGACTTTAGTGAAGCCTTTCCCGAGTTTGTGTTTCAGACTGTGAGCAGAAGCCTGACTGGTCTCTTGGTGAAAGTAGGGGATGGGATTGCCCACTTTTTGTCTGGATGATTCCCACGCTGTGCCAAGCCTGTGGTGCACTCAGGCTCTTTTGGGGCCCTGCTGCCCCTCTGCTGTGTGAGCCCATTGTCCCCACCTATGCAAGGGATCTCCCTCTTGGTGCTCACACTTGACAGAGCTGCCCTGGAGAAAACCCTCGTGTGCCCAGCGAACAATGCAGGCTTCACTTCACCACAGCCTCATAGAACAGGACCGAATGGGTGTGGACAGCAGCTGTCAGTCCATGCCCAAAGGACTTCCATTTCTTTTTGGTAACTGCTGAGAGCCTGGGGCCTTCTGCCCCTGCTGCATTTGCTGTGCTAGATGCTCTTTTGGGACTGGTAATGGGGCTTTTGTGTTCTGGTTTACCAAACATTGGCTGGATTTTTACTACCTAGGGAGGTTTCTTTGGGGGCATTGCAGGGTCCCTCACATCCCCCGAGGGAAGAGGTTACCAGAAACCGTGTTTACCACCTCATGGATGCAGGGTTGTGTGGGGGAGGAGTCCCCATATGGTATATCTTCCCCAAACTGTTTTACTTGATTTTTCTGGAGAGGGGAACAAATAAAAATCAAGAGCAGGGAACCATCTGGCATCAGCCCCCAGCTGCATGTGCTTACAGGCCTCAACCCAATGGGAAGATCCCTTGGCTAAAAGGCCTGGTAAGCGTCAAGGCACGAATTTCAGCCTCCCTCACACTGCTTATTCCCGTATCTCAGACAGCTGTTGAAGGATCCACAGGTGCTGTTTGCTGGCTACAAAGTTCCCCACCCTTTGGAGCACAAGATCATCATCCGTGTGCAGACCACACCAGACTACAGTCCCCAGGAGGCCTTCACCAATGCCATCACAGACCTCATCAGCGAGCTCTCCCTGCTGGAAGAGCGATTCCGGGTGAGGAGCTGGACATACAGGGGAAGAGGGTTGGTCTGGACACCAGCTTGTTTGCTCAGAGCTGCGGTGTTCTCATACCTAAGACAACCCCTGGTTGTTTCCTCTGATTTACTTGGGATAGAGGGGCAGAGGTGATGACAGAGCAGGAACTTCTACCTTCCAGGAAGCATGGGTAAGGAGTTATGGAATTGAAGACTGGGGCCTGCTGTCTGCATCCATGGGTGGGAACCTTACCTAGTGCTCCAGTATCTCTGTGCACTCTTGTGGTCCCCATGGAAGCAGGGGGCCTACTGCCCCCTTGGTGCTGCTCCTCCAAGTTTCTTCTCTGATGCTGGCTGCTTTGTGGTTTGGAAGGCCTGGCTGCTTCTAGGGCATTTGTCTAGGGGGCAGCTCATTCTAGGGTGGGGTCACACCTGTCCAGACAGGGGGCCTCAGTCTCGATAATTTAGAGTGGGAAAGATTCACAGCCTTTCAGATTTCAACATTTGTCATATACTCACCAGGAAGCACCTCTGCTCCACCTGACACCTACTCCAGGCAGCAGGATGTGTGTGCAAATGATGGAGTGGGTGGGGCTGGCTCAGAGGGTCCCTTGGGTTGCTGGCTGCCCAGTTCCTTAGAGCTGTTCAGGGCCTGGTTCGCTGCTTCTGTTTAGTTCATGGCTGTGCTCTAGAACATGGCAGCAATTTTCTGGCAAACCTTGGTCAGGGATGTTGGGGCTGAGTTTCCAACAGTTTCACCTGTCCATTCCAGCTAAGTGTACTTGCATTCTTCCTCTCTCTCAGGTGGCCATCAAGGACAAGCAAGAAGGAATTGAATAATGGGCTGGAATGAGTCTTGCTTAGCCAGCTCCTACCCTGCACTGGGCCCTTCTCCAAGTACCAAATGGAGGAGAGCAGCTTCTCTCAGCTAAGGGCCTCCTTGGAGATATCCCAGGGAGCTCCTCACCCTTGACATTGGTGTGTCCTGTACATAGATTCTTTCATCTTCCTAATAAAGTATGGAAGGAAAAGACCTGGATATGAGCTGAAGCAGAGGTGACTTCACAGCAAATGGATTGTCAGGCTCAGTGGAGGTAGATGATCTGTCTTGGGGCCACATTTCAGAGTGGAATGTCCCAGAGACCCAGATTTCTGTCTGAGAGGGTAGCAGGAACAAACTCATCTGGGAGGCAGTCTTGAGCAGAGAAAAACTGAAAACCCATGTACTTCCATGAGTCTCTGCTTTGGAAGTCTCAGCTGCCAGGTCAGCTTGTCTTATTCAAAGTTGAAACACCAGATGGGGCCCACAAACAGCTCTCCCAGGCTACTCTTAAATAGTAGAGACTTTAATAAAAATATTTACTTATAGAAAGATCTCCATTATTAGCCCCAAAGTTGAATAAGTTAAGTCGAGTCCCTGGTACTTTGCAATAGAGGCAGGAGCTGCTCGAGGCTAGTGTCTCTTCCAGATCGCTACAATGTTGGAATCTGTCAGAGCAGTGAGGTAGGTAAAGGTAGGGTTGGCCACCACTGTGTTCACCATGGTCTTGGTCACTGTCTGGCCGAGGGCTCGAGGCTGGGGCCACTTAAGGATCTGGTGGGAAGAGAGGAGAGCTGGGCTCCTTCCTGGGTTCCTCGCGCTGCACCAGTCCCCAGCAGCGGGGAGAAGAGAGAGCTGTGCATACCTGCGTGGGGGCCTGCAGGGCTGCTGGCAGTGGAGGCTGCTGCATCAAGATGTGCCTGACATCGTAGATCCACACGTTGCCCTCCTCGTCCCCACAGAGCACAATCCCCTTATCTGCCAGGACACAGAGACTGGAATCTAAGGTGGGGCAGAGCTTTAGGAGGTAGAGAGTAGGATAGGGTGTGAGGTGGGCTCACCAGGACAGGTGCTGAGTGAGAAGTAGGCCAACTCGGTGGGTGACCACTGGAGCCGAGCCAGGACCACCACTGCCACCGTGGACTGACTGCCTCGGCCTACCCACGTCTGGCTCCAGCTCCACAGGCAAATGGTACCGAAGCTATTCCCCTTGGAGGCTGTGGGGGAGAGGAGAGAACTGTGCCTGCGGGGGCCCCTATTAAGGCATTTCTTATTTCACAATGGGGACCCCTCAGAAGCTCTCAACACAGCCCAGGGAGAAACACTCATGAAAGCCTTACCAGGGCCCATCTGAATCTCAGGAGGCCAGAGAGTCCTGAGCTGGGTTTACTCACCCACAACATCCTCATTCACAAACGCCAGCCCATCCACTCTCCGGCCGGATACCTCAGAGCCCTCGGAGAAGACAAACTCCACCTCACACACCCTGTGGAGCCACAAAAGATGCTGGTCAGCTATTCCTTGCATATACAAAGAGCTTCTCATTCATTTAATGGGGACCATTCACTGGGCACCTATTGTGGGCCTTGCCCTATGTAGAGATCAGAAGCCACAACCCAGACATCTTTTCTGGGCCCTGGAGGGGTTTGAGCTTTGCCCTGGAAGAGGGAGCCAGCACCTGTGTACTAATTCACAGGTGGTGGGAATCAGAAGCATGAGGGGTTGGTTCTTCCAGGAAGCGGGATGGTGTGCCCAGGAAGCAGAGCCTCCGGGACTAAAAGGAGCAGGAAGTGACCAGCCATCTAAGTGGGGCAGGTGTTTCGGGCTGAACACTGGGGGCCTGAGAAGGGAGAGACTGGAGAGCGGCTTACTGTGACCCTGAGGACAATGGGGAGTGACTGCTGAATGTTTACAAGCTGAGGGTGTGTGTAGGGTCACAGGAGCTTGGAAAGTGCCCATCGGCTGCCCAGAGTCCTGGAGAGGCTGCTTAGAGCAAGAAAACCAGTCAAGTACCAACTGCAAGGAGAGGCAAACACATCTCAGATGTGGGGGAGATGCCACAAGACTTGGGGAGATATGAGTGGAAGGGGCGGGGAGGAGGCAGGCCCAGGGCTTGACTCCCAGGTGTGGCACAGGGCCACCAACAATACTTGGCTGAACAACTACCACAGTCTGCTGAGGCTTCTACTACTTCCCTCCACATAACAGCTGCTTCACTCCTGCTACCCACCCTAAAAATCTTCCCAGGCTATTCATTGCACTTAGAGTAAAATTCAAAATCCTAACTGTGGGCAACAAAGGCAGCATACCTTGGCCCAAGGTATGACACCTCATCTTGTACCATTGACACCTCATCTACTAAGCTTGTGGGCCCCAACAAGCCATGATCAGACCTCCCTAGACAGCTCTCCCCAGTTCTGGCCCTTTGAACATGCTGTTCCTCTGTGTGTAGACCTTCACTGCCTCTGCCTGCCTGAATCCCTTGTAGGAGAGCACGAGCCTGAGAACCTATCCATCTGTCACTGGTCACCTCCCTGGAGTCCTCTTGGCCTTCCTGTTCCCCTCTCGAAGTACCTTATTCTCTTTCCTTCATAGCTGACATCACACTTCGTGGGGTTACCTTTGTTTAATGCCTATCTCTCACTAAGCTTGTGGGCCCCAAGAGGGCAGGAACTCCATGCTGAGCACTCTCTCAGGCCTTCCAGGTGGAATGGATGAGCCACAAGCCTCAACCTGGCCTTCCAGGGCCTCATCCTTGCCCAGACACCATCCTCCTTGCCCTCTATTAGCACTGGTATGCAAGTCACTGTCCCAACTGTACAGATGAAGAAATTATGCTATGACAAGAAGGTCCCAGTGCTGGTGAGTGGCAAGAGCTGGGTGGTAGTGAAGCCCCAGGTTGAAGGTGAGGTGATCAGAGCCCATGGGGGGAAATGACCCAGCCCAAGTCCCACATACAAACACCAGCAAAAGAACAGGTCAAAGGGGCCTTTTCTCGAGAGACTAACAGAAGGTGGGGACAGGCCAGCTCTGTGAGGAGGCCCCTGAAAACACCCTTTGTGGCTGTCCAGAGCAGCGTGCATGGTTTGGGCACCACCACCCGTGGGTGTGCCTGGGGTCAGACATTAGACTGGCAGATGCCTAGCTGTAAGGCTTGGCTTTCAAGGCATACCCATCTGGCCTTACCTCCTTTTCTGAGGCTGGTCTAGCCGCACATCCCAGCAGCAGCAGCCACTCTCACAGCCAGCCAGCAGATAGGCATCTGGGCAAGAGGCAACTGGGCAGACACGCAGTGGGGTAGAGGTGGTATCGAGTGTGAGGAGCTGGCTGCCAGCGTATGAGAGGGAGAATATGAGGCAATGGGCCCAGGTGTCTGCCCACCCTGGTAGCCAGCCCTACCTACCCCAGCCCTGCCACAAAGCATCACCTGGCCTGGAATTCATAATCGTGGTTAGGCACCCCGATGTCCCAGAGGATGATCCGCTTGTCATAGGAGGCCGCTGAGGAAGGAATGGGAAAGGGAGAAGTGGCTCTAAGGAGGCCCTGCTCCCTCCTGCAATCTGCAACCCAGGCTGAGACCGTGGTCCCAAGGCCGGCCCCTCTGAAGCAGGGAAGGAAGGCTATTGGTGGGAGACTTCAGGACTTACAATCTTACTCTAACCTAATGTATGCCACACTAGGCAGTCATCTTTCACAGGCCTCTGCTCACGTATCATCCCTGTTGTGCTCACCATACCTGGAGGGCCATGGGTATCCACCCAGGTCACAGACAGAGTGGCCCAAGTTGTCAAAAGCTCCAAGGCCACAGAGCAGGTTAGGGGAAAAGCCATGATCTGAACTGAAGCCTGGTCAGTTGTCTACAAAGCCACATTGCTTCTACCATGGCCAGAGCTAACATCAGCTGCCTAGAGTGAGGTGGCCAGCAATAGGATCCCCCTACCATCCCAGGGAGGGAGCGCTGAGGCACTGGGATGCAGGAAAGGGGTGCTGGGGGAGCCCTGGGAGTGTGGGGAGAGAGTCTTACTGAAAAGGTGGGTCTCGTGGGTGGGACTGAAGCAGAGGGTGGCAATGGCCCTCTTGTGGGCACGGATGACCCCGCAGCAGAAGCCAGCACGCACGTGTAGTAGCCGGACCTGACCTCGCAGGCCTGCAGCTGCCAGCACGCTCCAGCGCTTCTTGTGGCCTGCCTGCGTAACCACTGTCAGGGCTGTCCAGGCCACTGAGAAGAATTCCTGGGGGCAGGGGGTGGAACAGTCACTGAGGGGCTGTGTGTGCATATGCATGCACGATCAAGCCTGGGAAACTGAGGCCCAGCATCAAAGAAAAAGGTTACCTGGTGAGTAGGTGGCACTCCTGCCCCCATTAGCCAAGGCTCTGCCCACTGCCCTGCATGAGCAGGGCCCTGGCACTCACCTCGCCAGGTGTCTTGTACTTGTGCAGTACGATGCCAGTCTGGCAGTCTATCACACACACGGCCTCCCCGCCACATGTGGCCACAGTCTGAGACGTGGCCCCTGCATGCCCTGTTTTGAGAGGTCAGTCTAGTAAAAACATTTTCTGTAAAGTTCCCCCCTGCAGTTCTCCTCCTCCTGGCCTTGATGACATTTTAAAGCTCTCTGCCCCTCCCAAATTCTGCATCCATCTACGCAGCCCCCAACCGGTGGCATCTCCACTCCTCTACCCCGCCCCCACCAGAAAGTTTGTTCTGCTGGTTCCTTGTAGCCTTTGCCCTAGTCCTGCTGGCCCACCAAGGATATAATATACCCTCCTCCCAGGCTGGCTCGAAGGCACAGGCCCAGAGCTGGGTCTCCAAGTCCTGAGGGCTGTTGTTCTTGCTGTGGCATTGCAGGAAGTGCAGGGGCTCCAGCTTCAGGGCAGGCTGTGGGGGAAAAAGGAGGTCACAGCTGCCCTAACCCTTACTCCCAGCCTCATGCTCCCTGCCACCTTGCTGGCTTACCTGGCTGCTATCAGAGGCCACAGGGCTGCCCTCCACCTGGGCCAACGGAGAGGTGCACACCCGCTTTTTGGGAGAGAGGTTGAGTGGGATGTCATCTGGCCGTTTCAAGGCCACTGAGCTGGCCTGTGAGGGGGGTTGGGAAGGACAGGCTGAGGGCCTGGTGACCATGGGCTCATCTACCTGAAGCCACTTTCCTCCCCATCACAGGCTGGACCGAACCCTCCCATGGGTACTGGAGGCAAAGACTGACTCTGGGTCAGAGGGAACTAGCTTGGGCATCAGAGGCTGTCTCCTCAGCTCATTTCCAGGAACCGCTGCTGCCCTGCAGCCTCCCTAAGCAGGCCCTCGGAGTCTAGGAAGCTGCATGGAACCACACTCACCCTGGACTCCTGGGTAACTGTGGCTTTTGGGGACCTCTCCGGGATGTCTGCCTCATGCACCTGGGTCCCACCAGAGGCCACCAGCTCCTCAGAGATCATCTGCACCTGGGTGGGGGCAGGTCATCAGGAAGCTGGGCACAGTCTTGGGGATCCCCAGCCCCTTCTCAGATACCCAATCAGAGGGAACTTGTGTTTTCCAAGTTGGGAAAGGGCCTTTCTAGCCAATAGGGCTGCCTTTCCACTCCCCACAGCCCTTCATGGCCAGAGATCTCCAGGGCAGCTTGGGCCATGGGAGTTAGCAAGGAGCTGGAAGAACAGACTCCCAGCACAGTGGGTGAGGACATACCCGCCACTGGGTGAACTCGCTGAGGGACTCGGGGCCGTAGCGGACATCCCTGATGGCAGACCTCACAAAGTCTGCCTGAGCCTTCTCAGCCTTCTCCTCAGGGCTCAGTGAGGCCATGAACTTCTCCCAGTGAGCTGTCACCTGGCACGAGAGGGACCAAATCCAAGCCCAGCCCACGCCAGCTCTTCTGGACTCTCCATGCTCCTCCCAATCTCATGGCCATAGGTATTTCAATCTCCCTGAACCACAGCCTTCCTAGCTGTAGGTTGCAAAAATCTAAGCAACACAGACAAGCAACAATCCCAGAAGGATGAAGCTGGTCCAGAGTAAAGTTACTATGAAAGTGTCTCAGCCTACCCTTCTGGGTCCTGCCTATACACGTGGAGGGCAGGTGCCCCAAAGGACAAGAGGCCAAACGCCACAACCAGGCTCAGAGCAACATGTCAGGCTAGGGGCTAAGGACCACTCGGTGTTAGGGCAGAGACCCCCTGTAACCTCCCCTCAGTGTCCTCAAAATGTCCAAGTCTGTCATTTTCTCTTCAAGGTCCCTGACTTCTCCCAAGCCCCAGAGACATCTCCCAGCCTCCTTACCCTGCTGGTCAGCTCCCGGTTCAGGTTCTCCACCTGTGAGGAAGTGGAGGAAGCATCCTTGCCATTGACCTTACGCAGCTTGGGCAGAAGAAAGGAGACTTTCAGGTTGTCATTGACCTGGGGGACAAGGGATGAACAAAGGTTGCTGAGCTTGAGCCTAACAGAATGCTAGCCCCGGGCATGGGGCCACTGAGTGCCCCCACTTACTGTCAGGAAGGGGTTGCCCTCCAGGCTAAGCTCCTCAAGCTGTGGGAACTGACAGAAGGCAGTGACGTCTCCCAGCTGGTTATTGGCGCAGCGGAGAATGCGCAGGTGGGACAGGCCCAGGTTGGCAGGCAGCGTCTCCAGTTGGTTGTTGGAGAGGTCCAGCTCCTGCAGCTGCTTCAGGCGGCTCAGGAGCTTGGGGTCCAAGTGCTCTGAGTGCAGCTTCAGCCCTGACAGGCTGGGGTAGGGGCAGACAGGGAGGGCTCAGGGAACCGGAAGACCTCCCCGCCACTACTATGGCAGCCCAGGGTGCCTCCAAAGGCTTTTCCACCTGGTAATTCTTGTGCATGCACAGCCTCTCCTTAGCACCCTCCTTTTTAAAAATCTTGTAACTATAGAACTCGGGGTAGCTGGCCCCTTCCAGGATACTTTTTAAGATCCTCTAGGGGGTGCTCCTCTGTGCTCCCCAGGCCCTCTGTAATTATCAACAGGTTGCTCAACTTTATTTCTGCACGACTGTCCCTAGCAGCCCTGGTCTGCTTCAGGGGTAAGGCTACTCGGGGCCCAACGGCCCACCTCCTGAAGAGAGGACGGCGTTTGGCTCGAGTGATTAGAGATTCCGCCCCAACGACAGGGCGATAACGGGGCCGGGCAAGAATCCTCGCCTCTCTTCCCAGCTGCCCGTCTTCCCCCGACCCGCCTCTTACTCCAGGCTCCGGATCTTCCCCAGCCGGTCGCTCTTGGGTCGCCCCCGCTGCATGAGCAGCCGAGCCGAGAGAGGGCCCATGGCGAGAAAGTGAAGCCCTCGCTGACTGTACTGGCAACACCAGCGTCCCGCTGAGCCCGAGACTCCCGGCGTCCTGTGCTGGTGCCCGCGGCCGGCAGAGCCCAGGAGGTGGCGCCGCGCTAGCCCCTCGGTGGCGACGACCGGAAGGAAGCGGCCCGGCGGACCTCGTGCCCAGCGGGTGGACTGCAACTCCCAGAGATCCCCGCGGCCCTGCGCCTGCGCACTGGCTTCCAGGACGGAGCAATGGCGGCTGCGGTGGTGGCGGCTCCCGAGGTCCTTCGAGAGTGTGGTTGTAAGGGCGTTCGGACCTGTCTGATCTGCGAGCGGCAGCGCGGAGGTGACCCACCCTGGCAGCATCCCCCACAGGTAAGGGCTGGGAGAGGGGGCGCGCCCACAACTCCATTCTTCATATGGGGAAACTAAGGCCCAGATAGGCCATGATTAGGGGCCCTTGCGGTGGGGACGTTGCGGGATGAGGAGATGCGGGCTTTGAGGAGTGGGTTTGGAATGGAGAAGGGGCCGGGACGTGGGTGCAGCCCTACCACAGCTCACCTCTGGGACCTGGGGGGAGTCTAACAGCAAACCTCCACGTAGGCCTCCCGAGTCTGGGCCTGGGAGCTTTACTGGCCTGTGGGGAGACGAAGTGGAAAGAGTAGAGGGGGCCGAAGACCAGGGCAAAGGTGCCCAGAAGGCCTAGGACGGAAATGAGCGAGGAGGAAATTAATTCCAATTAATTAACGAAAAAAGGACTCAGCCTTTGAACTGGGTCTGGACGTATTTGGTTGCAAGGTCGTTACTTCTAGGGAAACTCCTTGGGTAAACGCCCGGGGTGGAGGCGTGTGCTTGGAAGGTAGATGATGGATGCTTCAGGTGAGGGAATTGAGGTCAGTGGGGCCTGACTACAGAGAACCTTGTGTGTGGCCACTGGGTAGGCTGGGCTTGTCCTGAGGGCCATGGAGAGCTCCTGAAGGATGTTAAAGGAAGTTACATGTGATTTTTAGAACAATCCTGGGAGCCGATAGCAAAGCATGAAGGCTGGGAAGCCAGTGAAGAAGCTGTTGCAGTGTCTCTGGTTAAGTGCAAAGATCCTGTGGAAAACAGTGTGACGGTTCCTTAGAAAATTAAAAGTAGAATTACCATATGATTTAGCAGTTCTGGGGATATACACAAAAGGTTTGCAAGCAGGGTCTCGAGATATTTGCACACCCATGTTCATAGCAGCATTATTTACAAAAGCTAAAAGGTAGAAGCAACCCAGGTGTCTATTGTAAGCAAAAATTGATAATCAGTACATAAATACAGTAGAATACTATTTAGCCTTAAAGAGAAAGGAAATTCTGACACGTTACAACCTGGATGACGTTTGAGGACATTATGCTAAGTGAAATAAGCCAGTCACAAAAGGACAAATGATGTGTGATTGCACTTACATGAGATACCTAGAACAGTCAAAGTCATAGAGATAGAAAGTAGAACGGTGTTTGCCAGAGGCTGAGGAAAGGAAAAGGGGGAGTTTTAATTTTGCAGGGTGAAAAAGTTCTGGAGATTGGTTGCACAACAGGGTGAATATACATGACACACTGAACTGTATACTTAAAAGATTATTAAGATGATAAGTTTCATGTTATATAATTTACTATAATTTAAATTTTTTTTCAAGTGCCAAAGGTCTGAACTGTGGGGGTAGCACCTTCCCAGCCTGATGGCTGAGGGAAGAGCAAAATGTCCAGGATGACTCCTCATTTTTAGTATGTCTCATGTGAGGTGTGAGAGACAAGAGGACACAGTGGTTCAAAGATGGGGTGGTAGCAATGCCTATGGAACATAAAGGGGAAGGAAGCAGAATTAATTGGTCAGTAAGAACCTCAGACTGCCAAGTGGCCCTGGCAAAGTCATGGACAACCCAGCTGGGAGCTCCAGAGCAAAGACTACCCATTAGTAGTCTTTCTGCACAACAGTCCCATGTTGTGCAGAAATGGCTGGGCCTATGTTGGGTCACTGGCTGGGAGCGGTCCAAGATGAGTATGGTGTCCACTAGAAACCTGAGGCAAATCCAGAGGCACTGCAGCAGGAAGTTGTTAGCCCGGCACTCCTTGTGGATGACTTGCAAATTCTGCTCTTTTATGAAAGGAAATTCAGGCAGCACCTTCTGGCTGCTACAAAGGAGGGAAGGGTCCAGAGACGTCCCCACCTGGGCTGAAGAAGGCTTCTCCCTTTTGGCCTCCTAGCATGTGCTGCTCACCCCCTGGACAGCTCTGGGGCCTCAGCTCTAGGGGTAGCATATTTCTCAAACTCCTGGTCTGAGCTGGATGCTTTTATACCTGTCCTTTTTTAATCCTCACAAGGCTGGGGAGGACCGAAGATACCCTGCAGCGATACAGGAACAGTGTGGACTCACAGGCTAGTCCCCAGTTGTGCAGCCTCAAGCTGGTTCCGGCTAACTTTGCTGAGCCTTGGTCACCTCATCTATGAAATGGAAAATGAAAAATGGTTATGCGGATGCTCTTCCTTTTTACAGATGAGGAAAGTGAGAGAACCTTTCTCAGGAGGCAGCCCCAGGCAGGCATTCGACCTCCTTTTAGACTCCAGCTATCTTCCAAAGTGGCTTCAGGGGAGAACGAATTATTGGGCAGGGGCTGCTCCCAAGAAGGCTTCTGGAGGGCAGGCTCCAAGGGCTCCAGGACCGCCATCTTTCTTTTTCAGAAAACACACCGTTTTATTTACTACTCGGACACTGGCTGGGCTGTTGGGGCTGAAGAGTCTGACTTTGAAGGCTGGGCCTTCCCTTTCCCTGGTGTGACACTGTTAGAGGACTTCGTGACCCGAGAGGAAGAAACAGAGATGGTGCAGCTGATGGACCGTGAGCCCTGGAAGCTCTCACAGTCTGGACGGAGGAAGCAGGTAGGCTGGCCCAGAGCTAAGGATGGGGGTCAGCCTATCAGAGAGGACAGCCACTCTGCAGGGCCCCTTCATTCACCTCCCACTCAGCACCCTCCTTGGCAGCCATACCAGGGGCATGCCCAGCCTGCTCGGCCTGCTCACCTTCCCAACAGTATGCTGGTGATCTAGGGCTCTTAAGGCAGATGACATCTCAGCTCTTTCTGCCCTCGCTCCAGCTGGGTAGTGCTAGTGACTGTCAGGAAGGGTTTCTTGAAGGCTGCCAGATGCCTTCCCTGCTGAAGTTCTTTGCTTATCAGTTTCATGTATCCTCAGGCCTCCAAGTCCTAGACCCCTTTGTCAGGGATCATAGCCCGCTCGCCTTGAGTCCTGGTCCTTTGTCTAGTTCACTCCATCTATTCTTCATCTCCAGCAATCCTTTCCCCTACCAGGACCCATGGGAGCCATCTATTTGGCCACCTTTTCACTTTTGCTTCCCCTCTCATCGTCTTTCCTTTCCCTGTACGATGGCCAGTTATTACAGTCACTTCCTTGGGTGCCCCCTTGCCTTTTCTCCTTCACGTTACTCTTTCTGCTTTACCACAGCCCTGGTCAGTTACAGCTCCCCTCCCTTGGGCTCACACACAGCCTGCTGGCAAATCTGGGCCCTTCCTGCTCCAGTGGTCATATTGACCTTCTCTGCTTAACTGCCTTCCTTCTAACCTCTTTTCCCCTCCTCACTCTCCACTCATGATCTTGCCTCTCTGAGCAAACAGGCGCATCTGCACACCTGCCTGCCCTAGGTAGGTGCTGTTCCCTTCTAGCCTGTTTCCAGGGCTTCTCTCCATACCCCCTCTCGCTGTTTGCTGGATGCATCCCATTTCACTCAGAAGACCTTGTTCAGCACCACTTCCCTCTCCCGAAAGTGAATTTTGTCTTGACTGGATCTTTTCCACCAGCCTACCAGTAAACTCTCTCTCTCTCGTTTCTGCAGCAGAATTCCTTAAAAGCGTTGTTGATTCTCACTTCAATTCCTCTCCTCCTGTTCCCCCTTAATCCACTCAAAAACCACTTCCGTCACTGACCTCCATGTCCTAAACCCAGTGGTGGGTTCTCAGGCTCAGTCTTTGAGCCTCTTCTCTTCCTGCTCCAGACACCCCCTTGCTGATGTTAGGGAATCATAGCGCTGCACACCGTCTCTGTGTTTGGGACTCACATATTTGTATCTCCAGCCCAGACCTCTATTTCTCAGACCCTAAACTGAGCTTTGGCTCTTTGCCCTCTCCAGCGCCCCCTGCAGTGTGCATGTCTCAGTAAATTCCATCTTCCACCTGTGCAGTCTACAAACTGTGGATCTCTCTAGATTTCTCTGTCTTGTTGGTAATTACTATCAGCACTTTCTTCTTTCAAAACCTATCCTGAATCTGAGAACATACCTTTCCAGCCCTCACCCCTCTTCAGTTTTCAGTAGGCAAGTGACTCTAGTGATGCCTCACCAGATCATGTCACTGTTCTGTTAGATCCTGTCACTGCTATTACAGGCTCTCCAGGCTTCCCATCTCAACGTAAACACAGAGTCCTTACAATGCCCTGGAAGGCCCTGTACTGGCTACCAGCAAAACCTTTGTTTCCACTCCTGTTCTCTGATGTCCCCCACAGTCACACCAGCTTCCTCAGTGTTCCTTAAAGGCTCCAGCTTCTCATCCCTCGGCACTCCCATCTCAGGCTTTCTGCCTGCCATTACCTAGGGTTGGCCTGCAGGAGCCTGCTTTCCCAGGCACTCCAAGATATGCAGAACCTGGAAGGAGAAAGACAATTCCACCAGATGGAGCTCCCTTCCACTAAGGGCGGGGGGACCAGTGAGGGCAAGGGTTGGCAGAGAAATGCTCCCCCCTTCTATTCCTCAGACCACAAATCTGAGGCATATTCTAGAAGGCACCTCCCTAAAATTTTTTGTTGTTGTTTGGTTTTTAGAAAGAAGCTGCATACCATAAAATTCACTCATTTAAAATGTATAATTCAGTGGTTTGATTTTTAGTATATTCACATTGTAGTGCAACGATTACCTCTATCTAGTTCTGGAACATTTTCATTACCCCAAAGGAAACCCATACTCATTAGCAGTCACTCTCTATTCCCCTGTCCCCTGGCAACCACTAATCTACTTTCTCTGTGGATTTGCCTATTCTGGACATTTCATGTAAATGGGATTATATAATATATGATCTTTTGTGTCTGCTGTCTTTCACTTAGCATAATGTTTCAGGGTTCATCACTTTGCAGCATGTGTCAGTGCTTCATTGCTTTTTATGACAGTTACATTCCATTGTTTGGATATGCCACCATTTGTTTTATCCATTTATCTGTTGGTGACTGCTTGGGTTGTTTCCGCTTTTTGGCCATTGTGAATAATGTTGCCATGAATATTCATGTGCAGGTTTCTGTATGGATATGTGTTGTCACTTCTCTTGGGTATGCATTAGGAGTGGAACTGCTGGGTCATCTGGTAACTGTTCTTCCTTGTTCTGAACCCCAGTGGTGCCCATCTTGATAATGCTGCCTTGGATTGGCCTGCCTTCCCTCTCTGCTCATTCTTCCAAGATCCCGACTTCTTGGCATCATATTGTGGATACTCTGCCTGCACATGAGCCTTTTGTCTCTAGCTCTGCTTTCTGGGGTACCTGGGCTAAGACAGCCCCTGACACTTTGTATGCCCCCTTTTCACTTTATTTCTTTTTTAGCATTTATTGCCATCTGATATACGCTGTTCATTTATACCTCTATAGTGTTGGCCTCTTATTCTGGAATGTCAGACCCATGATGTCAGAAATTTTTGCTTTTCTTGGTCACTGTGATTGAATTCTTCAGACCTAGTCTGTGGTACCATCTCTATAAACTCAGACACTTCTCCACTTCCTTTTTGTCCTCATCCTTCAGGACTACGGCCCTAAAGTCAACTTTCGGAAACAGAAGCTCAAGACTACTGGCTTCCAAGGCCTCCCCAGCTATAGCCGGGAGGTGGTGCGGAGAATGGGCCTCTACCCCATCCTGGAGGACTTCCGGCCCGTAGAGCAGTGTAACCTGGACTACTGCCCAGAACGGGGCTCAGCCATTGACCCCCACCTAGATGACACCTGGCTGTGGGGGGAGCGGCTGGTGAGCCTCAACCTTCTGTCCCCCACCGTGCTGTCCATGTCCCGGGAGGCACCTGGCAGCCTACTGCTCTGCCTGGCCCCGTCTGGCTTCCCAGAGGCCTTGGTAGAAGGTGTGATGGCTCCCAGCAGGTCTGTCCTGTGCCAGGAGGTGGAGGTGGCCATCCCTTTACCCCGTCGCTCTCTATTTGTGCTCAGTGGAGCCGCGCGGCACCAGTGGAAGCATGCCATCCACCGAAGACATATCGAGGCCCGCCGTGTGTGTGCCACTTTCAGGGAGCTGTCGGCTGAGTTCTGTCCTGGTGGGAAGCAGCAAGAACTGGGGCAGGAGCTCCTGCAAATCTCTCTCTCCTTTCAGGGGAGACCCATGTGAGCCGCCTCCTTGGAGACAGGAGCTGGCACTGGGCCTAGCCAGAGGCACTAGCTCCAGAGTTGACCCTTTGCCAGGATTGAAGCAGGGAGCCCAGCACAGGGTCTTGCTTCCCAACTTATTAGGTTTTCAGAGAAGACTGACACACTGATGCCACGGAACTGGTTTTGATGGGGATGTGCCTCCGGTCAGTCCCCTTTGACCTGCATTGTGGTCACTTGTTTGGGTTATTTAATTTGTCACAATTTGAGGGCAGTGGCATAATTTGAGTTTAAAAAATATTGGCACCACTTACAACCATTTTCTCCTTTATCCATCTCTCTCAGTGAGGTTTCTCTATCCCCTGCCCTGCAGCCCCTCCATTGGGTAGCACATCGGATCGGAAAATGGGATTGGTAGAAGATTCGCGGTTATTATTGTTTCAGATTTCAGAGTCAGACTCTGCTTGGGTCATGCTTGACCCCTTGGAGTGCGGCATGTGATGAGGACAGGAAAATCCCTTGAAAGTCTGGTATTCCCACCCCCATACCCCGTAATGGTGTTAAAAAGTAGGGGGAAAAGTGTCTTCAGCTTCCAGAATAGCACAGGTGGTTCACCTTCAGGTGCTGGTGCCGTGCGGGGGGCTTACCTGGATGGATAGCTGGCCCCCGTGCACCTGAGGCCTGGTGAGCAGGCCGTTGAGATGGAAGGGGATGGCGGTGTTCCTTGGGGTCTTTGTGGCCAGCCTTCCTGCTGCTTATTTGACAAAATACATTCAGCTCACTGGCGACATGCTGGGAGCCAGACTTGAAAGACCAGGATCCCAGCACAGCCTGGAAACTTTAGTGGTCAGCACTGGTCTTCATATTCACTTTGGAACTTTCTGAGAGCTGGCAGGTTGGAGGAGCCAATGGCCACTCTGCACTGCCCGTGAAGTGGCATTGCAGCTGCTTGAGCCACTGGCTCAGACTGGAGAACCCTGTGAAGACCCAGTGGAGAGACTGCTTGGGTTCCTGTGGCTGAGTGAACCCAGCTGCTGGAGGGCATGGAGCATCTTCCAGATGCTTTGGCTGCTCCTCTCTGGACCAGCTCACTAAGAGCAGGAGGGCGGAGGGCGACTTCTTCCCAGGTGTTGTGACCTCCACACAAGCCCTCATAGACTCCACTCTGGGCCCCTCACACCAAGCACTCAGATGCAAGCCCGGCTGCCAAGCAGGCATGATGGTCTGCTCCGTAGGGCGTGCGGGGAGCCTCTGCCTGGACAGGCTGGGCCCTTGAGCAGCCTGCTCCTGGGTAGAAGCTGCAAGATGCACTACCAACAAAAGGCTCTTGGAAACAGAACTTTGGGAAAAGTTCTACCCCAAGACGTGCCAGAGAGAAATCTGTTAAGGCTAGGGAGTCACTCAGCAGAGAAACCTGTTTTCCCTTGGAATCTCCCAGTGTTTGCTCGCTGTTTGACAGTTGGCTCTTCCTACAGTCCCGCAGAACTCACATTAGGATACGCTCCATCACATCATGGTAAAGTTGGTGACCTCAAGTTGAGTTTGTCCTTGAAGTTACTACATGAAGACCATGAGGCTCTAGGTGCCACCTGCCCATGCCACTCACTGGGATTTAGCTGGGCTCTGGCCAGGCTGGGGTGTTTCCTCCAGGATGCTTCTGGGCACCACTGTAGCCACTGCCCTGTTTCTGAGGGGCTAGTCCCAGCAGCCATAGTCTGAAGGATACGACGTCTGTTTAGCCCCGTATTTTAGGTGGCTGTGCCTGCAGTCAGCATGCTTAAGCACCAGACATTTGTTGTACAGTTTCATCTGTGCTAATGCTTGGTGGTCTCAGAGTAGGAGAAGGCAGGAGCCTGTGGGAACACACTAATACGGAAGCATCCTCTTCCAGAATAAGTTGGGGAGTCTGCTGACATTCCTCAGCCTGCCCTGTTTTGGAAAGATGTTGAGGAAACTTGGGGGTTGGTTATTTGTTTGCAGGGTAGGGCGGTGAGGCCCATGCTGGCCCTGACAATGGGGGCAGGAAGGGGCTGAGCTCAGTCCAGGGAGCACCCTTTGGGTTATTTCTGCCGAGACTTGCGCAGAACCTACCTGTATCGTGTCCCTAGCACCCTGCAGGGACAGCGGAGACTGGGGAGGATTCAGCACGTTCTAAATGGGCCTGCCTCAGGGTCTTTGCTCAGTCCTGTCCCACCTTGCCCTGCTGGGCCCCACCCAGGGCTCTCTGAACCCTAACCCTCTACCTTTTAGAAGCATCCAAATCAGGACAGCCTTCTCAGCAGATCAGCTGGTCAGTAAGTGGGCCCAGCCACAGCAGGCTTGCTAGGCTCATTGGGAAAATGGGCCAGAGCCAGTTTGCTGGAATGGAGCTCTACACTGAGCCCAGGCCTTTGGGGTCCCCAAGGCCTGTGGAGTCCTCCCTCTGGGCTGCAGTGCCAGTCTGGCCCCCTATATTGGCAGAACTTTTCCATATAGTAGTGCCAGCAGCTTTGCAACCTAATTCCTAGGAGACTGGGTTGAAGTGCCAGAAAATTAATAAAGGACAAATATTCTTTCCTAGAAGGGGCCCTCTACCTCAGTAGGCAATTAGCAACTGTAACAAAACAGAATACATGGGAGCTTCTTCACAAGTT